TCAGTAAGCTCTGAAAGATCAGAAACCACAGCAGCAAGACCAGCACCAGCTTCCAGCCTTGAGCCCCTCCAGCAGAAGCCCTGGTGGTCCTCCTGCCCCACAGGGGCCCTAAGCTGGCCCCATTCTCCAGTGTAGCCCCAAGTCCCACCTCTCTCTGCTCGGACATGCCATGAGATGGGTCTGCCCCAGGGGTCCTCACCCCCTCCCCCCACTTCTGCTCACACTGCTGTGCCCCTGCCCCGGGAGTACTCTGCATCCCACCCAGGCCCCAGGGGTGGCACCAGCCCTCATCCCCCCACCCGCACTCCTCCCAAGTAACCACCATGCCCAGGATTCAGAGAGGGCACCTCACTGCCTCAGAGACCGTGGCCTGGCCCTGCACCCTAACCACGCTTCCTGGCCGTACAAGCTGTCCAAGGTCCTGGGCACATGCTGGCCTCTCAGGCCTCAGGCCCTGAAACCACAGTCCTGTTGGAGACACCACCAGACATCCCACGTTCGGCCACAGACAAGAGGGACACGGGGTCCAGGGAAGTGGCAGAGCCCTGCAGCTGAGGGTCCTTCAGAGAGAGACGAGCCTGGGTCTTGCCAGAATGCTCCGCCCTCCTGGTGTCAACCTCATGGACCAATCTGCCTTATCAGTGACCCCCCGGTGGCCCCAGTGGCCCCGGTGAGCAGGCCTGGCTACCTCTCCCATCACGGGTCCTGCACGGCCCTCCTAGTCCAGGCCCGGGGCCTCCCTGCTCCTGCCCAGCAGCACTGGGTGCTGGGTCTCAGGGTACCCACGCTGTCCCTCCTCCAGCTCCTCCTTCCTCGGGCTTCAGCTTAAACTTGACGCCCCTCTCCTGTCCCGCCTCACCAAGTAAGGTCCTTCTGCCCTCTGGACTGGCCTGTCCCCTGGAAGGAGCTCCTGTTCGGTTCAACACACCCTCCCCACCTGGCTCAGCCATTTGCACATGGCAGATGCTCCACAAAACTGTGCACTGACTAAACAAAACAGGGCAAAGTCCGAGGCAGAGCCCTCCCCGTGTTCATTCTCAGGGGCACAAGAGGCCCTCTCCCCACGTCTCACTCAGATACCACTCCCCAGTGTCCCTGCCTGGCTCTCTGTGTCCTTACTATGCACCCCGTGCAGGCAGGTGCTGTTGGCCTCAGTTTCCCCCAGAGCACCCAGCACCGAGCTGGCACTCAGCCACTCCAGCCAGCTTTCTGAACCACAAAACACCAAAAACCATCATGTTCCAAGCCCACCAGGGGCTGCCCCTCCCTTGGGGATGCGGCCCAGATGCCGGCAGCATCTGATCGTGCATCTCAGGGTGGCAGGCACGTGCCGCAGATGCACAGGCACCCGGGAGAGTCAGGCAGGCACACGCTGGCCTGCTGAGAGGGGATGCTCTGCCACCCATCCCAGGCTAGCGTGTGGTCAGTGACCGGCACCAGAGCAGAGACCAGAGGGGAGAGGCTGCTTCTACACAGTGGGCAGCTCCGTGAGACCCTGAGCAGAGCCCATGGCTCGAGCCCAGCATGGACCCCAAACAGCCGATAACCCAACGACGTGGCTTTGGTGCATTTGATCCACTATGAGGCTCAGGGTGTTGTGACTGTGGGGGTGAGGTGGGGGATGGTAGACGTCCCGTAAGAATTAAATTTGATTTGCACTCAAGTCACACCTAGCTTATGATCCAGAATTGACCCCCTGGAGGGGAGCAGGAAGCTGGCCAGGGCATGGTTGTGGGTCCTGACCCGGAGGCACTGAGAAGCAATGAGAGGTCATGGGCTGTGAAGTTGGGTTTAGGGTTCCAGTGCTCCATGAGCAAGCTGGCGGATGCCACCCGTCTCCTGCATGGCCATGTCGTCTCACTTGTGTGTGCAATCCAGTTGACTCCCCTGCATGAGGCACAGTTATCTTGGAGGCCCATGGAAGATGCAGCTGGACGAGTGGCCAGGAGAGCCCCTGGAACTGTCCTCTTCCCAGTGGACCAGCAGGGGCCCAGTCTGTGGGGACGTCAGGAAGATGCAGGAGGTGGAGAAGGAATGAGAGTTATCTGGGACAGGTAACTGCACCTCCTCCCAGGGTCCCCCAGGCCCCACCGTTGCCCAAGCCAGGTCACAGTCACAAGGTTGGCAGCCTCAACACCCACCCAGCCCAATAGAAGGTCATATCCAGGGGTGGCCAGGCCCCTCTCTTCCCCTCCTCTTCTGCTGAGTGAGAAGCTGGACTGAGGTCCAGGAGTCCTGGAGGAGTCCTTGAGAGGGTCTGAAGATGTGGAGGGCCCAGCAGAGCGGGTTATGGGATCTTCCCAGTGGCTTCCCCCTGAATGACCTCCTGAGACCCTCCCAACCACCAGGAGAGAGACTGCCCAGCTGGGGCCTAATTTCCCGAGCTGCGAACTTCCCTTCCCTGCAGAGGGAGGCTGAAGCCTGGGGCCTGCGCCAGGAGGCTGGGGGTGGGGCTGATCTCCACATCAGAAAGGAAGTCCTCCCCCTCGATGGACAAACCAGGTGTGGCAGGGCCCCAGGCACCTGGGGGAACATTCTGGGGTTGCCCACACAGGGGGTCTCTGCCTCCGGCGACTGGAGACATCCCCAACAGCAGCTCTCTACCCCATCCCAGTCTAATAACCCTCTCTCTCTGCCTGTGGCTACAGCAGCTGGACGCAGGGTGGAGCTGAGGAACCGGGATGTGGGTTCCAGAGCCATCAGAGCTGCCAGGGGGACATGGGTGGACTCTTCAGCTTTCCACCCGCTGTGAAATCTCTGAAGGGCTGCGTCCACCAGACCCCCGCCCGGAGGGCTCGAGGCACATAGGGTCCCACCAGTGCCCACAGCGGGGGGGGGGGGGGG